GACGGTCTCCGGTCTATTCGCGAGCGGCAGGACCATCTGGATGCTCGGCTGGACAGCTGGGATCAGAGGTTCACCCAGTCGGACACCCGTTGGACCTCTTGACCCAGTCAGCCATACCCCTCTCCGCCACCACGACCTTCAGATGCACAGTGAATTCTCACTGTGCTTTGAATATTGTTCGCACATTTTCATTATGTTCTATCCTAGGTTTTGAATGTTGTTCGCACTTTTGGTCTTTAGAACACCTTTTTCGGAATTGTTAATTTTGGACTTGTTATTTCGTTGACATCGATGGGTTTTGAATGTTTGTGTTGACATCGCTAAGAGTAACTAAATTCTCTATCAAGGGTTAGATGGTTGTCGTTCGGGTTCGCAGTTTGCGCCATGTTGTTTCTTGTGTAGAAACTGGTTTCTTGAGCGAAAAACTGGTTTCTTGCCAAGAAACTGGCAAAAAACTGGTTTCTTGACAAGAAACCAGTTTCTTGCCAAGAAACTGGTTTCTTGAGCGAGAAACTGGTTTCTTGCCAAGAAACTGGTTTCTTGAGCGAAAAACTGGTTTCTTGCCAAGAAACTGGTTTCTTACCAAGAAACTGGTTTCTTGCCAAGAAACTGGCAAAAAACTGGTTTCTTGACAAGAAACTGGTTTCTTGCAAAGAAACTGGTTTCTTGAGCGAGAAACTGGTTTCTTGCCAAGAAACTGGTTTCTTGAGCGAAAAACTGGTTTCTTTCAAGAATCAAGTTTCTTGAGCAAGACACGGCCTGTTGACATGTCATCTTAAATTTTTAGGGACTTCACACACTTCACAGCAATTTTCATTCATCTCAAAAAATACGTTTTTTCTTGGCAAGAAACTGGTTTCTTGAGCGAAAAACTGGTTTCTTGCCAAGAAACTGGTTTCTTGTCAAGAAACTGGTTTCTTGCCAAGAAACTGGCAAAAAACTGGTTTCTTGACAAGAAACTGGTTTCTTGCCAAGAAACTGGTTTCTTTAGCGAAAAACTAGTTTCTTTCAAGAATCAAGTTTCTTGAGCAAGACACGGCCTGTTGACATGTCATCTTAAATTTTTAGGGACTTCACACACTTCACTGCAATTTTCATTCATCTCAAAAAACACGTTTTTTCTTGTCAAGAAACTGGTTTCTTGAGCGAAAAACTGGTTTCTTGCCAAGAAACTGGTTTCTTGTCAAGAAACTGGTTTCTTGCCAAGAAACCAGTTTCTTGAGCAATCCCCCAAAATATGTGAATGTACATATTCATCGCCGTGGCCGCGACCAAGGAAATGGCCGCGGCCGCGATCTCTCTCCGCGGCCGCGTGACACGTCCGAGGCCGCGATATATTTTCCGCTGAACTTCAAATTTGGAACCCAAAAAATAATCGCCGCGGCCGCGGCTATGGAAAGCCCCGCGGCCGCGACCAATCCATTTTTTTTTTTATTCATTCAAAATTTTAGGGACTTCACACATTTCACTTCAAGTTTCAATCATCTTAAAAATAACTACAAAAAACATAACAAAACTACACACATCAATATGTCCCACAAAGTTATTACATTAACCACACACAAATCAATCATACAAGTTACAAGCCAATTATGTCTTCCCACAAACAAAACATTCATTTACGATCCATAAAAAACAACATATAAATGGAAAAAAAAGCATATAAACTAGGTAATGTTTTGAGGACACTTGTTCCTACGGCGGCCAGGTTGCTTACATTTACCACACAAATGAACTTTGGTAGCGGGACGTCCAGATTGAATTGGTTGCTCAACATTTTGGACTGATGCAACACAAGTTGTAGAGTAATGCCCACTTTCGTGGCATCGTGTACAAAATGATTTACTTCGAGAGCTCGAAGAAGGGCCAGTAGAAGGTATGCGGTTTGACCTCGGTCTTCCGGCTTGCTTGGGATTAATAGGGCATTTGACAACCATCAAACTAGGTGATGTAGTTAAGTCCCAAGTACTTGGATGCGCAATTGGCATGATTATGGGCTCGTAAAGTTTGCGCCATGTTGTGGTCTTGTAGTAGTCGTGCACATATCCATACACCGATTCGTTTGCCTTCCTAAAAATGGTACATGCATAGAAAACAAATTAAAGGAACACAATATAACAATATGTACGTAAACGTTGCGGCTTCTAATAAAAAAAAAAGGATGAAAAAATTACCCGATAGCCTTAATCGCATGTGAACAGGGAAATAAATCCACCTAAAAGAGATAACAAGTGCATGTCCGATCATTCAAATTGACAACAAAATTCTTGACCCCGTCCTTCACGTGGTAAATGTAGTGATTGATATTTGAAGCTTCCATTTGGTCTGCTGCAGTTTTATAATCCATTAAACGCTTAGATATTGATGGAGGAACTTCACACTCAGTCTTTTCTGTCTCGACACGTCTTTTGTGAAACCACTCTTGCATAATGTTTCGAATACATTCAAATAATGAGCAAACAAGCAATTTCCTTGCCCAACGCAACCTATTGTTAAGCACCTCACAAGCATTTGACGTCATGAAACTATATCGTCTAACAGGACATTGACTTCGTGTCCACCATGTTGGAATGGCTTCATCAACCACAACTTTTTTTGTGTTAGGATATTTTGCCGCAA